GGAACTTTCATTTTGATAGGGAATGCAAAATTAAGTCAACAGAAATAAGTGCCTATTTTGAACAGCTATCATCTAAAAGTGTTTATAAATTTTCATGTTTGGCAGGAAGCAAAGTAAGTAGCCTGTTCATTAAAGGGCATTATGCTCTAAGAAGGCACTTTCTTAAACAATCAATATCAGCATAAGCAAAACCTATAAATCAGAAGACATGAAAATATTGACCTAATAAAATGAAAAGTCAATTCAGTGCACATGTGGAAGGAATTCTTTCTATTGGGCAGTCTTCCCTGAAGTTCAGGACAAGTGAGAGGAGAAAAGATTTCAGCGCCCAGGTCTCTCCTGGAAGAGTCTTCATGAAAAATGTGGTCCTCCAAGAGTTTGCTTCTCTTTATTCTGTTGTGTACTTGACTTAGTTTCAATTTTAGCTTCATAAACAAACGTTTTTGAAAAATGTATTGCTAATGTTGCCGTTTAATGGATGACCTAAAATGCTTCGGTTGGTTTTTTTTTTTTCAAGTGGTCAAGGATATTTGAGGTCTTTCTACTTTTTTAAAGTGGTTCTGATGACCCTTTTTAGGATGTCAATGGTGTATAGCTCCTGAGGTGGCAAAGCCTTGATGAAAGTTTCATTGATAGTTTCCATTCATATCATTCCACAATGAAGCTGCGTTCTTGGAGCCCTGGGTTTCTTGTCTGAATCTCATGTTTACACACACTCGCTTACACATGATCTGACTCCCTCCCTTCCTTTGTAACTCTCGTGGCTCACAGTCAAGTAGAATTCCAACCCAAAGATGAGGAAGTAAGAATCTGGTAATGGTGCAGTTCGGATAGCTAGGCACCTTTCCTTCAAATATAGCTGCCCACTAAATTAAAGTGAAGCGATCACACCACGCATTTTTCTGTCATAATTCTGAAGGTTCCTGGAAGACCTCTAAAGAGAATACTGATTGGCTGTTTACGTTGCCAATAGGAAAGGAAAAGCTGAGATTCATCTCAGAAGTTGAGGTGAATGCTGTGCTCCTCTTCCAGGGTGCATTCCAGGAATCCCCTAATCAGTCTCCATTTCTTTTCCTCAGCACTCCCATGTGCTGCTGTGTAGCCCGTGAATTACTGGGCCCTGTATTGTGGTTGGTTGTTTTGGTGCTTCTCTCTCTACATTGTAAATAAGCTCCATGAAAGCTCATTTTGTTTCCTAAGAACCTTTGGATTGGTGTATGTTTGCATTACTTTGAATCTTATTCATTCTCGCTTTCTAGTAGCAAGGGTTACAAAGACATAAGGTAAACCCATCAATCTTGAAACAGCACAGCATCTCTCAGGCCCATGTTTTGGGGGGAGACACTTTGGCAATAAACATACTATAAAGAGGATCAGCCCCCATTGACAGCTAAGGGTATTCCTTGTTCTGTATGGTTTGTTCAAAAGTGTTAAACATTCCAAGAGAACCAGTTACATTTTAATCTTTCTTTACTATGATGAAAAAATATATGAATGCCAGAGTACAGCTGGCTAAGAAGCTGGGGGAGAGACCAGTCGTGATGAATTGCAGACATGTAGGAAATAGTTATATTTAGGGAACATTTCAGTTGTGTTAAATGCAGACCTGAGATTTGTGACTCACACAGTGATTTTATATTGCAGGTAATTCCAGTGGAGAAGCTAGTGAAAGGGCGTTTCCAGGACAACCTGGATTTTATTCAGTGGTTTAAGAAGTTCTATGATGCGAACTACGATGGGAAGGAGTACGATCCGGTAGAAGCACGACAAGGGCAAGATGCAATTCCTCCCCCGGACCCTGGAGAACAGATCTTCAACCTGCCAAAAAAGTCTCACCACGCAAACTCCCCCACAGCAGGTATTGTAACAGTGAAATCAGAGTTGCTTTCATTTTAGAAAATGGCTCAGGCCCTCCTGTGGCTTGCTGTGTTTAATTGATTCTTCCCACAGTCAGTATCTTAATGCCTCTGGGTGATTTTTATTGTTTGTTAGACCACATTTATCTTCCAAGCAGTGACCTACCTGTAGTAAGTCTAGCAATCGTGACTTAATTGTGAATAAGACAGAGCTATTCTCTAAAGTCACTGAAGCCATATGTTAAAATGATACTTCAGGGGTATGTTTTGTTTTCCTTGTACTTTTTCTGAGAAATTTCTGTTTAGATTTGGACTGAAATATTTTTACTGTGTAATTGCTGGCAGTACAGGCCAGAATATGAACCAATGTATACTTTAAGTATAGATCATCTATAATCCTTCAAAGGAAATTCATGAAATCTACATCCTATCTCCTGTAAGGGGCAGTGCCAGTTTTTATGTGATGATGTTCAGCAAGACTTCATTTATCCAGCTTTATCCAAAAGAGAAGTCATTGAGGATAAATACCTAGAACTTTTAATGTTTTTAAAACTTTTGTGGATAAAAATCTTTCTGAAATATATTATAAACATCTTTGCCATAAAAAAAAAACCAGACTTTACCAAATAGAGTGTGTTCTTGTAAAATTATAATCATTATTATAAACACCTGTTGTGGTACTGGACAGTTAAAAAATGAACTCCTCTGGCTGGCCAAGTGGCGCGTTGGTTAGTAGCTGGCTTGGGACGCCAGAGGGCCCCAGTTCAGATCCCACGTGGGGACCAGTGACACTGCCCTCTGCAGGTGGGATGGTGGGCAGCGGCTCAACCTGGAGCTGGGTTGCCGTGAGTCACCAGCGACGGTGTAGGCTGCAGCCCCTGTGGCAGTGGGCTGCCGTGGGCTACCGTGTGTGGCCAGCAGCCAGCATGAGTGGCCAGCAGCCGGTGTGAGCTGCCAAGAGCCACTGTGAGCGGCTATCCAGAGACCGGTGACCGATCTGCCTCACCCGGGAGGAGCGCAGTGATGGTACCAACATGGGCCGGTGGGGCAACGTCCTCCACAACTAGACTGAGGAACCAGGGAACAGCAGCTTGTCTGCTCCCTTTCCCAGCACTGCTCCCTTCTCCCAAATCCCCAATAAAATCTTTTAAAAAAAAAACAAAATGAAATCCTCAGAAACCATTGGACACTTGTTAAATCAGTAACCTTAATTTTGTAAATAATACGAATTTTTTATTTATGTCCACCCTACAATCAGAATGGATAACACGTGGTTATGACAATACTAATATTAAACAATGCATGAACAAGTATGGAACTCAAAAAAGTGTAAGATAGAGGTAAGCATTTGTGGGTCTTCCATATGTGCACGTCACTAAAGCTGGAAGTGAGTACTGAGTGGGACGGGGAGAGTGCCTCAAGGAACCCTTAACAGTGTTTGGGTAGAAAAGGAAGGGCTTGCATTTCCTTTTCAGCAGCAGGGAAGATGCCAGAAAGATTGAAGGAGATGAGGGAATGACATGTCAGGAAAGCAGAAGAAAGGGAGCAGAATCGTCAGCAGCATCGAAATCTGCCAAGGAGTCAAGTACAATGAGGACTGGGAGCGTCCACTGGATTTTTTTTTTT